CGAGCTTTATTAGCGACAATGTGAGAATAACTTCTCAAAATTATGAGGTGGGGAGGGGGTTCTTTGTGGGCACTGAACATTAGTCTCAACCTCTCACCGTTGAATACTCTGTATGTTATGAAGATTTCTCTTAGGGCCTGTTTGAGACACGGAATTGACGAAATTGTGATTAAATTGAAAATTGAAATTTTATCAAATTGATTTAGATGGAATTGAGTTCTCCAATTTCAATTCATTTTGACATTACTAATTCTAAATTCACATATCTTTTTGTTACCAAACAGCAAAATTGAAATGACTGGATTGACTGCCCGCAATTTTAATTTCATAATTTGAATTTTGTGCATCAAAGAGAGTCTTATTTTTTTAATGAATTCATTTATTTATTTGTGGATTTATGTTACGAATTTTAGGCCAAGCCATGTAAAATGTAAATATAGCAGGATACAGAGCTACTCCGTATATAACAACTCACTTTTACAATCCACCTCTAACCATATCATCTATTTTTAACACTTTTATAATTTTTCTATCCCAAAAAGAATTACCTTTTTTAATAATTAAAAGTTATAGAATTTTTTGTTTATTTGTGCATTTTATTGATTGATTATTTAAGAAAATAAATTATTTTTATCATCTTTTATTTTGTAAAATGTTTGAAGTAATTTTTACATACGTAAATTTTATTTCTAATTTTATATCAATTTTTAAAATAATATAAATTTGAAAACTTGAAAATTCACTTTGTTTCGTGTAAAGTCTAAAACATTTCAAGAAGGGAGTGGTATTTTAATATTTTAAATAGAATACAATAAAAACATAAATTTGACAGCTTCGAGTTCAATTCGGCAACCGAAATATAGAGATTGGCAGCATCTGGTAGCCGAAGAAGGTGGGAAATTCGATAGTTTTTAAAGTGGTTTTATCTGTAAATTTGAATAGATATAAGAAATACAAATTAAACAAGGTGCGACTCATGGACTCAAATAGTTATCGAGAGAGTATGTTAAATCGAAATCTGTACTTGGAATTTATGAAACACGTGTAGTCACTTTCATATTGAAAAGATTCGTTGGTTCATATGGATCTTTAATGAGATGGAATTCAGAGAATTTAAAAACAAAATAAAAAGAAAATGCAATGATTTCAAACCTCTCCCGATGACCAAACTTGCGAGCGGTTTTATAGACGTGGGAAAGGGATGAAGAGTTTCCGTTTGTGACTTTTCTCTATTGGATTTTGTTGAATACAAAGTCTGAAAATAAAAATTCGAGTGAATATTTAATACTGCACTTTGTCTAAGCAAGAAGCTCCGCATCTTGATATTCATACAAAAATAGTTTTATGAGAAATTTACCTAAATAGAACTAAAACATAATGACTTTCCCAATATAGGACCATATGTTTTTATTTCTCAATGTAGGACCTTTAGTCATTATGAAATAGTCATTATTCAAGTAAATGACCATCATTACTGGACATTATTCCTCCCACTAGATCATTATTAAGTCCTATTTAGGGAATAAAAAAGTTTAAGTCTTATATTAGGAAAGTTATTATGTTTTAGACCTATTTAGTGCAAATTTCACTAGTTTTATTAGATTTATTATATAAAATATTTTCAAAACATTATTTTATCTAATTAATATACAATGTACGGAGTATATTTTATTTAATCATTGATTAAAAGTTAAAAAAGATTAACTAGAAAAAATCAAAACTAAATAAACTCCAAAACAGGGCTAGTATGAAGTAAAGTACTCGAGTACAATAAAAATGTAGGGTGAAGCACCAAACGAGTAGTAAAATATATGACATATCTTCAAAATTTAAGAGTTGAAGTATAAACTCCCCTAAGTAGAAATAATTAACTTAAATAATTTAATGGCTTAAGGAGCGAAATACAAGTAAAACATTGGCCAAGTACCAAAAAAAGTTATATTCATATTAGAACTATGAAATTAAATACATTTTATAAATTAAAAACATTCGAAATTAGCTACAGCCCCTGTCGCACATGTCACTGTCGCCACCCCTTCCGCCATCCGTGTCACTCCATAGACACAATCTCATGTTGTCATCGCTATTAAATGCAGCCACCATCTACATTGTTGCTGCCACCAACCCCGCCCTGGTCGGCACTATCACCGTCATCCCCACCATGATCTGCCGCTCTCATCCCCATTTGTTGCGGATGCCGCCTCCATCGCCCCCATTTGCTGCTGTCAATGTCGCAATTTACTACCAATGTTGGGATCAAGACTGCCATATTATCGCCATCGTAGTGCCATGATGTCACTACTAAAGGAAAAAGCTTTGAATACAATGCCAACCTAAAAGCATAATGTCAAAGACGATAATGCATATATACTCACAAACATGTCATTGCATAATGTCAAACATGTTATTGCATAATGCCAAACATTTCAATATAAAATTTCAAAAAGAAATTGAAATGTCAAGATTGCCAACATACAATGTCAAGTTCCTAATCACTTTCCCCAAAATTTGCTGAAATTGAGTGCAAAATTTAAACACGACTAATAGAAAAATAATCAAACAAAAATATTAAAAGAAAAACAATCTAATACAAAAATGAAAAGAAAAAATCTAACCAAAATCAATGACTAATCAAGATGCATTTTTTTGGAGAAAAAAAGGATGAATGCAATTAGTTGGAAGTATTTCTTACTTGTACGATGCAGTATCAGTTAGAGAGCAGTTGATGTACTGCACTTGGGGTGAATTTGACAGAGGCATCGCTGCAAAATGGTGAGGGTGGTGGGCAAAAATGAGAGAGAGGCATGGTGGGGTGGCGTTGAGGGAATGGAGTGAGAAAGATGAGATAAATTAGAGATTTAATACTATTTATGAAATTTTCTTTATTGCTTAATTAATTACTCCTATTTAGAGAAGTTTAAGCTTGAGCTTTTATTTTGGTAATATAATACTCCGTATATGTTTTATTCCTATTTAAGGGGTTTTGTTAAGAGGAAATTACCTAAATAGCACTAAAACATAATGACTTTCCCTAAATAGCACTACATATGTTTTTCTTCCCAATGTAGCACTTTTAGTCATTATGCATTAGTCATTATACAAGCAAAATTTTGCCATTACTGGACATTATGGACATTATAAGTGCTATTTAGAGAATAAAACAGTTTAAGTGTTATTTAGGGAAATAACTTAAGTTTTAGTGCTATTTAATGCAAATATTTCTTTTGTTAAACATGTACCCTGTATAATATAGAAGTAATGGTTGAAATAGATTTGAAAGAGTGGGTAATTAAAACATTGTAAGGAAACTAAAATACGTTTTAGCTTTCTAAATTACAGCTTATCCAATTCTCCACAAATATAAGTACGGACACTCAATGTGAGGTCAACTCATTGCACACAACCATAATTACAATGTACCAGTACGTCAAATATATACACTCCCTCCGTCCTCCTAAGATGTTCTCATTTTAACTTTTGGTGATTTTAAGAAGAGTTGAAAAAATATGAAAGTTTATCATAATACCCTTAATGAAAATGAGTAGAGTGTATTAAATGAGGTGGGTGAGATGTAATAAATAAAGTGGGGGTAGTTGTGGTATTTTAATTGTTAAAAAATAAAATGAGAATATCTATTGTGGACAAAGAAAAAGGGCTATTAGGAAGATCTACGGGGACGGAGGGAGTAATACGTAAATATGTATGTTCGGATTTTAAGATTTTATAAAATACGGTTACTATGCATATTAAACGTCCGGCATGCGTATACGGATACGTACGCGTTTTAAACGTTTTCTATTTTTAAAATACGTCTTACGTAGTATTACATATTTATATATTCTCATATATACGTCAAATTTACACATATTTATTGATTGATAGTTATCAATTTATATTAGGGTAAATAAACAAAATACCAAAATCTTTTAAATGAAATATTTACAATAGATTTTTTCAAATTAGAATCTCTATTTATTTAACATATTTATTTGAAAAAATATATACTCCCTTTATTAGGAAAAATATCCTTATTTGAAATTCACGTATGTAGTTTAAGAAATGTTAAAAATAAAAACTTTATAGTTTGAATATATTTAGAAAAACAAATAAGAGTTGTTAGTGACTCGTTCCTTTCTTAAAAAAAAATTATTTTTTGAGACAGACAAAAATGAAAAGAGTAAAATCTTTTTTGAACTTGACAAAAAAGTATAAAATTCTTTATAGAATGTAGATAATATATATATATTCAAATTGATTGAGTATTGTATGTATAACTGATATGAAGTATTATTCGTATTTTGTTTAAGTATTTTTTTAAACAAATTAATACTTGTTGTTGTACAAAAAAATTTATAATGAAATATTCAATTCATACGTACTATATGTAATCATACGTATTGTATCAAATATACGAGTATTTTAAAGTATTTTTGAAAATCATACAAATACATGAGTATAATACGCGTATTATACGTACGCAAGTATAATACATGTATTATACGCGTATTAACTAACTAGGCACACAACAAGCACTCATTTCTAGTCAATTAACTTCACAAATTTTTTAAAATATTGAAAAAATAAAAATAATCAGTATTTTATAAGAAAAAAATGAATGATTGAAATTTATTTAAAAGAGAACAAAATTTGTCACCATATTTATTTTAGTGTGACTTTAAAATGTTCATATTTTGGGCGCAACAAGCAAGTTGGAGCCCAAATAAGAGTAAATTAAACCTACAAAACTTGTCCAATTCCATTCATTTTTAGGGAACATAAACCCAAACCCAGAGAGGATAAACTTAGAGGCATCCGAAGTCGGTGTAACAAGTGTACACTAACTTCTAATGTATCTGTTTTTATCAAACCTTACCTAGAGAACACAATAAAAAATAAAAAAAATAAAACCCAATATTAATACACTCAATATTTAATACTACACCATTAAAATAAGAATAAAAAACCAGATTTAACAAACCAATCCTTCCCTCATCTTCATGATCTACACTCAAGATTTAATATTTTTTCTAAAATTAGTACTACTACAAATAATACCAATAATAATTAAGATGATACAGAACAAGAACATATTTATGGAATAATAATTATATATAGAGTAGCCTAAAATGGAAATTGAAATTCTTGGTCTTCATCAACAAGATTTGATTAGATTTTCTTTTTCTTGTGAATCTAAGGTTGTTTTCCGAGGGTGTGTTTGTTGTTATGCATCCAAACCTTGAAAACATGCCGGCGAACGCCGTAGTCGCGGCAGAGCTGCTGCACCGCCGCCTCGTCGTCCTTCTGAATCCGCCACCCCAATCTCTCCGCCACCTCGAACATTTTGTCCTTCTGCTCCTGGCTGAACTTGGTCCTGAACCTCTTCTTCGACCCCCCTCCGCCGCCGCCGCCGCCGTTCTGGGTCGAAATGTCCATGGCGTCATCCGCCGTGGTCTCCTCTCTGTATCCGCCGCCGGAAGTGGAGGGCAGGGCTAGCGGCGGCGGGGGCGGGGGAAGGTGGTTGAGGTACCCGGAGGGGTGGCGCTGGTGGGGGTACCCGAAGTGGACCGGTGCCACGGCGGCGGCGGCGGCGGGGGAGAGCTCTGTCTCCTTGCGGTGGAAATTGCGGTGGCAGTTGCAGGCGGCGCACTTGAGGGCGTCGAGGCTGCCGTCCTCTCCGGCGGGGATGAACTCGCCGCAGCCGTCCACGGCGTGCCCGCCGATGCCCACCGCGTGGTTCTTGAGGCACTCCCTGTACCTCGGCTTCCTCATCTGAAGAGGCGGTTCCATGAGCGCAAAACCGCCGCCGCCGGGCACGGCGGCGCCGGGAACGAAAGAAAGAATTTTGGGCGGAGCTGGTTTGAAATTCCCAAGAGATTCATAGCTGCTAGGCCCCATGGCAATGTCTTCTTCTCTCTTTTTCTCTCCTTGATTCTCAAACTCCATAGCTAATTTAACAGAGCTTTAATTTAGTATATATATTTTTTTAATTTAAAGAATTGTTTGGGAGGTTCTGTAACTTTTTTTACCAGAGAATTTTGATCCAAATATATTTTGGCCAAATTAATTACTATATTCACTAAATAATCTAACCTCGCATCTATATATATATAATATGTTACCCTTCTCTTATGTTACCTTAACCTCGACAATGCATTCACCGGCAACAAGTAAATGCCCGTCATTTTCACTTGTTTTACCTAGTACTTTGTACTTTCATTTCCAAAGTCCAAAAGTATTACTCCCACCATTCCTATTTAACTGTTCGTTTCGTTTTAAGTATGTCAAATATTTGACTAAGTATAGATAAAAATATTTAATCAGCTAAAATATAAAAATTACACCAAATTATTGTATCAAATAATACTCTAAATCTATTATTTTTAATATTTTTTTGCTAATATATTGTACTTCCTCCGCCCCCCTGTATTTGTCCACATTTGACTTTTGGAACTGTTCATCTAAGCACTTTGACTCATCAAATTCTCTCAATGTGTAAGCCTAAATATAGTCATGTGTGATCTTGTTTGATTTTTCTTAACATATAGATTATTAATATATAATTTTTTAATATACAAATTACAAAATAAAATGGATTAAAGAAGTGCATTGGATGGTGTACAAAAATGAAAGTAGACAAATACAGAGGGACGGAAGGAGTAAGAGGTATTATCGATGAAACTTTAAGTTCGAAAAACGATTCGGATTGTTAAATAAGAATGGAGGGAGTACGGAGTCTTCACATTCATTTCTCAACAACTTTAGTGTTTAAATTTAACGTTTTTGAAAAGTAAAAGGATGTTACTGACATTTACTGTATGTAAAAAAGAATAGAAAAAGTTTTTCTAGACAGATCGAAAAGCAAAGTAAGAAAAACATTTTAGAATGGAGGAAGTATTCAAGAACAATGTTCAAAATACGGGATTCTTGATTCTTCTCTCCAAAATGATGTTTACAGCTATACATAGTTTGACTTTAAAAAATAAAAATATCATTGCTAAAAATGTTTAGTAAAAATGACATTGTACATGTAGTTAAATTTTATCATGAAGAGAGAAATTATATGGGGAATTTACTTAAATAGCACTAAAACATAATGACTTTCCCTAAATAGCACCACATGCGTTTTTCTTCCCAATGTAGCACTTTTAGTCATTATGCATTAGTCATTATTTAAGTAAATTTTCTTCATCACGGGACATTATGGATATTATTAACTGCTATTTAGAAAATAAAACAGTTTAAGTGTTATTTAGAGAAATGACTTAAGCTTTAGTGCTATTTAGTGTAAATATTTCAAATTATAACTTAAGTCACGTCGTATTCATTTTTATACAAGAATATCAAAGAATCAACTCAGATTAATCAAGCGCTCAAGCTTGTGGTTCAAAACAATCTCTATTCAAACTATACACAATACATATTGATCAAAAACGTTCCTAATGCTTCCACAAGTCATGTAGGCCGAGGATCATCGTGTGAAGAGGATTACAATCAACATCAAGAACTTAATCTTCAAATTTTAAAGATCGTGATATCCAAAAGATGAACATGCACTGAATAGAATTCGTACATAGCATGGATTAGAATTTCTTGATTGGAGGTTTGTCATACAAATTACGAGAATGTATCATAGCATGTTGCATATGATCGGTGTAACCCGCACCTAGTGATTTAGACTTTGTCCTGTTTGATTGTAATTGTAAAGTTAAATGTTGAGAGTAACTCGAATAAATTGAAAGAACATAGGAAAAACTGGGAGGAGTTGAGAAATGTTAAAAATTAAATCGTTAAAAAAATCACCCGATTAAATGATCACCCAAATAAATACGGAGTATATAAGAAAATTAGTTTTGGATATAAAAAAATTCATCTTTGTTTGTATTTGAGGTGTTATGTTATAAATTTAGATATATAATATTAGGAGTATTGTGTATAATCATCAGATATAAATACATTTTTTAAGTCATTGTTAAAAGAAACTGGAGTAACCTGAAAAAAATTGGAAGTAGTTAGAGAAAACTAGGAGTTGGATGAAGTTAATTTTTTCAATCGAAAAGAAGATAGCCTTACTAGAAAGATGTTACCCAGATGGAGAGTAAATCCAGATTCGACTTTCCACAATGTACTCGGTCACACTGAGATTATAAATTAATTTAATTTGCTTTGTACTTCTTACCTGATAACAATTTAGATTCTGAATTAATAATGGGAAGACCCTTTGAGTTAATTAAGGTTAGTTTTTTCTTTCTCTCCATCCCAAATTAAGTTGCATGTTTACTATTCATAGAGTCAAATTTTATTCATCTTTTTATCTATTTTGATTAGTCATTTAATAAAATAATATAGTCATGTCACCACTAGTTTTACAGATCTTTTGTTGTAGTTTTTAAATATGTAATTTTTTAATTATATACCATTTTTCATATATAATGGTTTAAAAATAACTTCCACAGACGATTTAAATTGAGAGTGAGAAAGTATTAAATAGTGAGTGTTTGGTATTATAGACTTTTGGAAAAAAACTGCATCAAATAGGAAAAAGTGTGAAGTGCATTGAAATTTCATGTTCAACAAAATTGATTTGTCCATTGAGTAAAATGATAAATATCTTACTCTTTTTATACATTGCGTTCTATATATATGCATTTTTTTACAAAAAAGTTGATAGTTGAGCCTTTTTTGGACTAAAAAAATGTGAAAAACTATTTAATGAGATGGATAGAGTAATTGGTAAAAAATTAGCGATTCATTTTCATATTTCTATTTTTATTACTTGTTTGCTCTTAAAATCTTTTAGTAATAGCCATAAATATTAATCCAAAAAATGACTCAAAGGGTTTATGACCGCGACATCCCACTTTTTCAAAAGCTACTCAAAGAGCATCTAAAATTTATACTAAGGGTCCGTTTGATATATGAAATTGATGGAATTGGAATTGAATTGAAAATGAAATTCCATGAGATTCAATTCAATAGGATTGAATTCTGCCAACTCCAATTCATTTTTTGTACTATCAATTCCAAATCCACATAATTTTTGTGATACCAAACACCACAATTGGAATTGAAGTCCTCAATTCCAATTCCATAATTTGAATTTCATGTACCAAACGGGACCTAAGGTTTTGTTTGGTATACGGAATTGGTGGAAATGGAATTGAAATTCCATGAGATTCAATTCCATAGGATTAAATTCTGTCAATTCTAATTCATTTTTTGCACTATCAATTCCAAATCTACATAATTTTTGTGATACCAAATACCAGAATTGGAATTGAAGTCCTCAATTCCAATTCCATAATTTGAATTTCATTTACCAAACAGGACCTAAGTGATCCATTTCACGCTCGATTCATCTATTTTTATTTATGATTGCAACGTCCCACTTTCTCATATCCATCTATTTTTATTTCTTCAACTCCGTTATAAGCTCGATTCTTCTTCTTCAAAAACCGACACATCTCCCCCTTGTGGAATAAGTTAAGGGTTAATATGGGTCATTCAATTCCTGATGTTCAATTAACGGAATCGCTTCTTCCTCCGGTGGGTTTGACGAAAGTGACCCTGACAATCACTTACAACAAATTTTAGATACCCTTTGAATATTTTTTGAAAAAGTGAGACTTCGGCAGTCATAAACAAAAAAAATTAGGGGTACCCATGAGACACTTTTTAAATATTATTCAATCAAGATAATCAAGAACGGCTAAAAAAATAAAAGCACCAAAAAATACAAATCAATTTTTTTTTTGACAAGATACAAATCAGTTTAAGAAAGAAAGAAACAAAACAATCCAATGATTACTCTCTCGCGCATGGAAGTGCCCAGATTAGATTGGAAATGACTTCCCCCTTCAAATTTTTTAAATGTTTGAAATGTTTTCGGTTCTGAATATTTGGCCAACTGTATTTTTAAAATACTTTCTTCATTCTAAAATAATAAATAATAGGTGTGAGCATGGTACAATATGGTACGGTATTTAGCTCGTACCGATATCGTAACAAATATTTTGATTCGGTATGGGATTTTACTCCGTACCGATCCCGATCCCGAAATATCGGTTCGGTATGGTTTGGTGTCGGTTTCGGTACAAATCGGGATGAAGATAGATACATACTTTACACGTTACAAAATTTAACAATACCCTTTTATTTTTGAAAATTAAAAGTGAATTTAAATAAAAAACATGAAAAATTTAAAAAAAATGATTATTTAAATGCAAGAGATGCGTATCAAAAACTTAGTTTATATTTCACAAACTAAAAAATGAATAACAACAAAGGAGCATTTTGAATCTTTGTGAATACTTTTATGCTCATATACAATAATTAAAACTCAAATAAAATTATAATTTACACATAATAAAACTTGAACCAATTTTTTTTTTTAAAATTATAATTTAGTGAAGGAATATATAAAAATATTACTCCGGGGTATTATTTTTATAATATTTTAGTATATATGTTCGGTACGGGATTTTCGGTATGGGACGTCACCTCGTACCGTTCCCGAATACCGTACCGACCATTCGGTTCGGTTCCTTCTCGGTACTTTTTCGGTTCGGTATTCTCGAGTGTTTCGGGAAATTTCGGTATCGGTTCGGTACTTGCTCACCCCTATAAAATAATCACCTCACTTTAAAAACATATAATATTTTTTTATTAATAAATTTATAAACTAGTGTAGAAACAAAAAATATAAATTAATATTTCAAAATTACGGACTATATCTTAAAGGTTTTACTCGTATAAAACAAGGTCAGATATTATAAAAATATTTTTATACAATCAAAAAATCAATGAAACAAACAGATAAGAGTGCTAGCTTCTTTAGTGCACTTTGGATGCATATCATTTCTGTAGACCTTCTTTTTGTGAGGTGATTATTAAAAAAGTGAGGTGATTATTAAAAAAACATCTCCTTTTTGAGAATTAATCGTCATAATTTTCCTTTTAGTTTGCGTTCCTATATAATTATCAATGAATTTTTTTGTTTTAGTACTCTGTAATTTTTTATCAAAATCCCGGAAGTCAAGTGAAAAAGATTAATTCTGGATAGAATAAAATTCAAA